CCCCCCCCCACACACACACACTTGAGAATTAAACACAAAACTTGATTTAATGTATTTAAAGAAAAAACCCAGCAGCAATGGGTACCTTACTTTGCGTTAAGGAAGTAAAGACGGCGTGGAAAGGAACTGGCCACCCTACCACAATATACCGAAGGCCCAGGGAGTCGTCTCACTAACAAGGCAATCCCCAATGTCCGGATCGGATGTGGGAACAACTTTACTTTACTTTTTAATTATAGAATAAAATTCATTGAATTACAGAAAATGAACACATACAACTTAATTCACTGAATGAAATGAAAAAATTAAACAACACAACTCAATTAATTGACTTTCAAGAATTACGTAACTTAATTTGCTGACTGTAAAAAAATAAACCCACCCAAAACAAATTCATATTTCACAATTCACCAAATAATATTTAAAAAGAACTACACACAATAGAATTCATTGAATACAAAACATAAATTAATTTTTTTTTAAACAAAAACAATTCACTGAATTAACACCTAACATCGACATCACTAGTTTCAACAACTTGAGGAGAAGAAGAAGAAGAAGAAGGAGACTGTGGATTCTCCTCTGTCGTATCTCGCGTCTGCATATGAAACATGGCGTGGTGCTCACCACCATTTGCACCTCCTCCGTTCTTTTTATTTTTCCCCTTAAAGAACCCAGTAATTCTTCCGTGCTTTTTATCCGGCTTAGTGTTCCGACTTTTCACACCATCATCACTCTCCTCGTTCAATCCACTCCCTAGACCAAGAGCTATGGAAGACAGCCCCGTTGATATCATGTGATGCTTCTTCTCCTCCATCTTTATTCTTTCTGCCTCCTCCTTTCTTTCCTTCTCTCGTTCCTCTTGTGTCTTGACCAAGTCGAAATCGGTGACGGGTTTGTCGCTGATGGGTATTTTTAGACCTTCTTTCCGGGCTCGCATCAAGGCTTGCATATAACCTTTTCTGTATACACGGATCTTCAAAAGAACAAAAGAAAAAACAAAATTATTATTTTAAAGTCTTTGAATCCGGCTCACAACTCATGTGACATTTTTGGTTTCGCATTTCACCAGCTCGCCACTTAATTGGCATTTTGGCTGTAGGCTTACTTTCTTTTTTTTTTTCAAAAAGGAAACAACCCCCCCAGTTGTTGGCAAAGCTGTTTTTGAGCAAAGAAGTAGAAAGGTCAAAAAAGTCTTTTTCTGTAAAAAAAAAAAAAAATAGTTTATCTAAAAACACACCTTTTATAATGTCTAAATAACATATTAAAAGGATTCTATATTTTAAGTCTA